CCATGGACAGTTGCGTCTTTAAAATGTTTTTCATAATGGTGACATTACCATTGATAATAGCCATTAATAAAAGTGACATTGAAATTATTCGCAATCTAGTGTTGCTTAGCACAATTTTGAACCCTCAAATGAACAATAGTATTTTCGTCCTTCAGAATTAATTATGCGGCTAATTTGCACATAGGTATAAGTATTTATCTTTTCTTTTAATGTTTCAGAATTTTTGAAACTTTTTTGCTACATTTCGTACAAGCTAAAGACTTAATTATAATTTGTCTCCAGAATACGGAACAAATTTGACGTGTTCGCCTATTTACTTGATAACTTTCCGGAAACCGTTTACATAATATAGATTACTAGTTAAAAAGTATTAATGATAAGTTTGCACTTTATAAACAGTAGGCATTTGTTTTTTAAAGAAAGATTAAACAAGTTTCTCAAACATAAAGATACTTATCCACCATGAGGCATTTCTCTCGCAGTTGCTTCTAATGCTTTATTAGGAAAAAACTGCACAGATTATTCAACAATGCAACTTTTTAAATGGAATCATCAATCATCTAAAAACACGATTCCAACTCAAATGCAGCTTTCACTACTTGCTTTGCAGAATATTGTATCCAGTAATGCATGCGAAATAAATCAAAATTGTGTGAATTCGGGACTAGCTGCATAGGGGTTAAACGTTTTAAATATTATTACAGTGACTTGCCCATAATTTCAAATTGATAACCATAGTTGCCCCAAAAAAATTCTTCTCTTTAAACAACCGCGCAGAGTGACTCATACACAGCACAATCCAGAATAATTCCTGTTGGGGTTTTTTATTTGGTCTTTTATTGTCCATAAACTCCAAACCAATTATTTAAACTTAAAACCACGGGGTGAGTTAATAAAATTACTTATATAATTTTATTTAAACTAAAAAAGTGGTTGGGTACAAGTAACAGATGATAAATAATATGAATGTGTCTCTGCACCATTATCTTTGTATTTATAGTTTTTACCACGAGGAGAAGCTTATTTGTAAGCACATAGTTACAAGTGTATTACATTAGCAAAAATATGTTATTAGGAGTTTAAGGAGGCAACCGATTGATGTAAACAAAGCTATTCAATAGAGATAAGGATAATAGCAATTCTAAAATCGTTTTTATCGTTCATTTATTTACAGTAGCTACTATTTTTTATTTATTAAAAATGCCGACAATAATAACACATCGATGTGATCAAATATATATATCAAATAACCGTAGTGGTGGATGAGTAAAAAAAGGGGGAATTTGGGCAATGTTTGAAGTGAAATAATAATATATGCGTTTCCTTTTTTTGAGAGGCGAAAGATACTAAGTACGACCCTGACATATTGAATGCGCTGTAAACGTGTTGCCGCCAGCCTGGCGAGCACTACAGCGTAGTAGATGTTGTTTCCCATTGACTAAGTAAGCGACTTCGGATATGCGAAGAAAAATTGCGTAAAGGAAAAGTACTTAACCGTCCGATAGTCGAGCGGTGTTAGCCAATGAGGGATTGGATAGGATTCTTTGATTAGTCCAAAAGAACCATCTTGCACGATGAAAAAAAGGCGAGAAAGGGAGGGATACTACAAAATAGTCACGTTGAGAGTATCAAAGTTAGGGGGTACTCAAATGCACCTCCCAACAGAGCTTTGGTAAACGTTTACACAAGTATCTTGCGACGACTGTTCCACAGACTTCAACATCTTTAACCTATTGGTTTAATGATACACGCCCACATTTACATACCTCAGTAATAGTATAGAGGGTGTTAGACATGAGTTGTGTAAAAAAATCGAGTGATAGAGGGGAGTAAAAACAACCCCTTCTTGTTTAATAATCCGAGACTCGAAAATGTTTTGTTTGGAATCTACCCTTACAAAAGACCCAAAAGTGTATTTTTTAAATTTTTTTCTTTTTTTTATGAAAATTCAAAAATTCAAGAATTGGGGGGGGGGGGCAAGATTTTACCAATATAATTGTTGTATAAACAACGTTATGTATACGTCATTTCGGTCTAAACAAATAATGACGGGAAGTTAGTTTGTTTTATTTGAGTTTGTATCTGAGTCTAATTTTGTAAATGCGTAATTCTTGTTTAAATTTTATCGCTTTTAATTTAAATAAAGTGCTAAGGCACATCAGAAGGTCTTAAGTTGTTCCATACTACTCCGGTATTTACCTTACGAATAAGGAAAACTGCAGGAAAACCTAATTCGGAGTAGCCGGCAGAATGCTCGAAACTGGTCTAAGATAATTCCCCTCTCTGCCACAGATGAAAAATGAAGAATCACTTAATACTTAGCATTGTCTTGTGCAATACCCGTAGTTGAACGATTTGCAATTGCTTCGTAGATTATTGTAAAATAAAATTTTACATTTTCCAAGGATTTAATAAATAGGTAAAAAGTTGGAATTAAAATTTTGAAATAAATTTGCAACAAAAAAGGGACACAAATAGTGTTAATTAAATACACAAAAGAATAATTGTAGGAAAAAAATTAGAAACAAAAAACTGGTTTTTTCTCAGAAAATTGGTGGTTATTTATACTTAACCACTCAAGACACCCAAACCCTAGTCCAAACCCAAACCAAACTATCCATCTAATTGTCACGGGTTCATAATCATAAAAACACATACAATAAAAAGCTACTCCCTTTTTTAACTACAGGCTAATATCTTTAAGAATCCACAGATTTAGATTTTACTTAATAAATTTTTAAACGTCAATGAATTTTAACCCTACAGAATTTCTTCTTAAAGAACCCTTTAATGTGATATAAATACATGAATACTACGGTACCTCGTAAACAAAATGTGCTTGTAATAAGGTCGAAACACCTCCTTACATCGACAATGGTAATTAAGATTAACTCATGGAGCTGCAGTTAGGAACCCATCCGCCGGATAAGTATTTCCTCTGCTAATTGACAAATGAATCGCTGCCTGCAGGATGAAATTTTCTCGTACTTTTTTTATCAGCTTTTTTTGTAACTAATCTTTACCAAGACAAGATAACCTCTTTATCTACCACTCTCCGGCACCTAAGACTTCCTGAATTACGACGAGAGATGAACGATGGTACATCGGGACGCTATCTAGGAATGACGAAAACCCTGGTTAAGGTGCGTGAACGATTCTCCTGGTTGAATTGCAAACAAGATGTGTAGGAATGTTGCAAAAATGTGCAGTTTATGCCAATGAGGCAAAACAATGTAATTAGTCCATTTGAAAGTAGTCATTGATATCGCAGGTCCTTTTCCAGGAGACAACTGCTAGAAATAAATATATCTTGGTAGTAGACCATGGACAAGTGGACAGAAGCATATGCTCTACCAAATCAAGAAGCGACAACTGTGGCAGACGTTCTTGTAAAAGAACTTTTGTCAGACGTGGAGTACTCCTGAAACTTCACTCTAACCAGGGACGAAATTTTGAGACGGTACTATTCCAAAACCTGTGCCAACTATGGGTATTCGTAAGACCAGAACCACTTCTTTACACCCGCAATCGGGCGGAATGGTACAACGCATGAATAGCACAATGGGGAAGTACCTGTCAAAAGTTACGTCCAGCTATGAGCGTGATTGGGATCAATATCTGCACTTGTTCTTCATAGCGGTGCAGGAAACTACCGGACATAGCCCAGATTCCGTGTTGTTTGGCCGTATGATTTAAAGTTTGGTGCAAGACCCGGAAGAAACTGTGGGGAACGAGTACGTGGAAAACCTGCGTTAGAAATTGGGTGCCACTTATGATAAAGTTCGCGATAATATGCAGTTAGCTCGCGATAGAATGAAAGTACAGTATTACGTGAAGGCTCAAACTGGTGGTTATCAACCTGGAGATCTGGTTTAGTTGTAGATGCGGGTTACCCCCGAAATTACAAAGACCTTGGGAAGGACCGTATAAGTCGTAAAGAGAATAAACGACTTAATATTAAGGATACGGAAACTACCACGAGCAAAACCAGTGGCAGTGCATATAAATGGGTTGGCTCCGTACGCGAGACAAAACGAGTCCGAGGAACAGGAAGCAAGTGAGACCACAACAATCCACTTTCGCGGAATTTATGGCACATTACATTGGAACGCAAAGGACACGCTTTGGTGTTGTCCGTGAGGAATCTAAAGATTTGTTCGAAGCAACAGTGGCAAATAACAATTTCTTCAAATGAATAAAACCAAAACGTGTAGCGTGTGGACCAAAAATCTTTAAACTTCAGATGCAGACAGACCGACATACAGTGCGAAATTGTGCTTGGCTATTTTAGATTAACTTACATTCTACCATAGGATTTCCGTTAAACGCAAAGAATCGGAAACTTTTCTGTGCCTGCGCAATTGGTTACCACATATTATTAGTAGTATAATTGATGAAATTAGGAACAATTCCACTGAGAGAAGTATTAAATAAGAAAATAAGACTGTGAACGACCGAATGATTGATGAAGTTATCACATTGAACACAATAGCCTTTATCGATCTTCTCCTGCTGCCCACAAGACCAATTTTTTTTCTTCTTACAAAATTAGAATGGCAGGCTTTAAAATACACGAGGGGTTAGTAACTCACTGAAAGAATTCGGACTTTACGCCCACAATGTAGGGGCTACTTGGAATTAATGCACCCAATACGTGTCAAAGTATTTAAACAATGGAATATCTAACTAATGAAGTAGGTAACGTTTATGATAAATCACAGGAAAAATAAATACGTATCAATTATGCATACAGGATGGTAGTGATAAAGCTAACCAATTATAGCTCATTTTTATGGAAATTGGCAGTAGGCTAAGTTCCTATTCTAAATGCCCTAAAATTCAGCGATTTATTCTCAACACGTTGAGGTTATTTAGACATGTCGACAACAATTAATTCAGAGAAGGTCATGGTACGTTTTGCTTTTGATATACTTCATTCTTTCCTTGGTTTGCACATGGCAAAGTTCCTCAAACGAGTTGTTGGTTCTTGCTATTAACAAATTAAATCGTGCAAAATATTGAATTAATGTCATTGAGCACTCAAAACTTATCAGAAATCTCCCAAAATTTGTTATCAGGTGCACTTGTGCAATAAAAAAGGTATAGTTTCCCCACCCCCACCAGATAAGGTTTGAGGCATGTCGCTATAATATATAAACAGTATCAGCTGAACGATTAAATACATTCTGTTAAAGTGCGCTAACTTAAAAAAATTGTTTTGTGAGTGCACGCATAAAGTTAACTTTGCGCAACGTAAGTACCTACCTTTACTTATATTTTTTTTTCGCAAGCCAACAATCACGAATTTTCAATGAACGCGATTTTTCTCACAATCGTAACAAATTTAAATGGTTGAGACAGAGCTGCTAATTAAACTTTTTCCAGATTATTAATAAATACGACATGTCTAAAGAGAATAAGAAGTACCAATCAACGCTCACGATCGACGATTTTAGCTCAACGTAAGTAGACTTTTTCTCATTTTTGAAACTGCGTCTTTGGGTAAATTGCGCTAGTTAAGCACTAAAAAGGAAGCGTCGCATTAACAGAAGCCTCCTTTTTTGAGAGATTATTGTCAATATACGCGCTAATAGATTAATTGAACCCAAAATTCCGCACCTAGTTTGAGATGCCACTATCTTGGCATCAAGAGCCGATAAAGATAACGCGAAGATAAGCGTTTTTCCTTTTTTTGCAGAACTAAGCTAGCGACACATGAAATCACCGTACCGATCGGAAGTAAGGAGTCCATTAGCGAAACGGATTCGTACTACAACCCCTTTGAACATAGAAGTGTTGAACATCCAAACTCGTAAGTTGCCAGCTTTTGGCGTCGGGAAAATTTGCTAACGTTGAGCTTTTTAGAACGACTGGTGCGCTCATTCATTTACTCAAAAGCTCACTTGGCACCGGAATACTGGCTATGCCAAATGCCTTTAGAAACGCCGGGTTAATTTTTGGGCTCGTCGGTACCTTCGTCGTAGGATTACTGTGCACTTACTGCGTTCATATTCTGGTGAGTATTACGTACCCGAATACCAAAACAGTTGACTGAGCGGTGAGCCCAATCAAATTAGATAGTGGGATTTGGATTTAATTAAAATTAAGTAGAGATTGATCTTTGTTAGTACCTACACAACACACTCGATCACCTTGTCTGGCCAACCCTTTCAATTCGCATACCAAATTGCTACTTTTGCTATTCTGCGGATTATATTCCTTTCAGTATAAAGAGGTGTAAATTTACGAGAGAACCCGATAAGTGTGCCTCGGGAGGCACAGAGATCCAGTTTAATAATGATCGCACTCAAAAATGTAATTGGGTTAATAACCGAGACTGAAACAAATTGCCATTGATTGATCAGCGCTATCAACCACGCAAGGTTAAATGATACTCGTGCAAGCAGCACAACCAAGGTACTCTGATAAATAAGAATTTCATGCACGATTACACGTGTTTAATAATAAAAAAAATTGTTCCCAATAGCAAGGTGTAGGTTGATTAGATGATAATTTGAAGTGGCCCCACCTTGGTTCGACTGCCCTATTAATGAACACAATTTTAATTTTGTGTTATTGTTGTTGGAATCGGAGATATTGTTCGTTCTAATTTGCATATATTTACCGCTCGAAAGTAATCAATGTTGCAAGTGATCAAAATTGAGTTGACCGTTGAAGAAATCCAGGTCGTAACTTGTTTGTTTTGTCACAGGTGAAGGCATCGCACGCTATCTGCCAAAAAGCGAAGATTCCCGTACTGGGATTCTCAGAGACTTGCGGTGCAGCATTTGAATATGGACCCAAACCTTTACGAAAATTCTCCACAGCTGCCAAGTAAGTATTTTTTACATTCTAACGTCCATTGTATAGTCTTGCACCATTCACGAGACCTACTTAACGTCCACGAGTTTACGCTTAATTCTGAAATTATTATCTATAGTAGGTAATTGACTGCTTGCGGAAGAATTAACCGGCTGTAACTGGTATTTGAAAAAATGTCACTATCAGCACGATCGCCTTAGATTCGTTTGTTGACAGCAAGTGCATTTCAAATTACTGTCACGTTTCGGAGTGCAGACATTTCAGACTAGTAAAAAAAGAGGATATTGTTTAATTGTTGAAGGCCAAGGATAAATGGCATCACGTTCTCATCACTTAACTCAGTGTTACTTTTGATTAAAACGGCGATATGTTATTGGATCGCGTTTAACTTGACATACAAAATATGCAAATTTCACTATCTTGCCTTGGCCTACCGGCCCCTTGTTGGTCTTTGTATTTTTATAGCATTCGCAAAGCAGTTTTCTTCGCGAAGTGAAAGGTTACCCTTTGCAGTAAAAAAATGCTTAGCCGATTTGACTTGTGCAACCAATTTGGCACGTTTTTTTAAGGAACGACTATTCACTACTCATCAAACTCCTTCTTGGTAACTTAATTACATGGAATCTTCATTTGATTTAATTTGGCAAGGTACCCTTATTCCCCATAATCATCCTTCTTCAGAACAATTAAATGTTTCTTATAAATGACCCATGGGGCCAAGGAAAATGTTTCCGAGGTGCCTTCATAAAAAATCAAACATACAACAATTAATTTAAATAGTGTTGTAATGGGAGCATACCGAGATAGTACATATTTTTTGTGAAAGGTACTTCATTGCAAAATGCCTCGGTTCCCCGAGTTCTGACGGGGTGCTCCCATAGGAATCCCATAAAAAATCGTGTATAAAAGGCACCTCCCCCAATATACTCTGTTTGAACGTTGTATTCTGTGTGAAATCGTAAATAAACACTACACATCACTTTCACCTTGGTAGGGTTGGTATTTTTCAAACAGGTGGTGGAGCGGAAGTCTAGGGAAGACATTTCTAACGTCTAACACCCGAAAATTCTGATTTTTTATAAATGTTTTTAGAGTTTTTAACTTAAAGCATTCTATGCCCCAACTCCGATTCGATCCAGAAACCCTCGTTGACGTAACCGAGTACTGATTCCCTTTCTTCACTATAGTCTCGAGAATCGTTATAAACTATAGGATCTTCAGGGACATCTAAAGGTTGGTACATCGGTTTTCTTACGGTCCTCAGAATATTAGTCAATAGGATCTTTCAGGTACTAAGAGAATTTGAGGCAGGAGGCTACAGTAGAGAATCTGTTCGTATATTTCTAAATGGCTTTTGCACAGGTTTTTTAGTTAGTAGTTTTAGTAGTCGATTAGATCCGATTTAAAATTTGAAGATGGTGAAAAAAGGTCCCATATATTATTCTATTTTTAGCACAAAGTCATTTTAGACCTATTATAGAAACTTCTGAATCTAACTGCAACCATGCCATTACGAAATAGAGCCCGTGACATTCAAAGGTGGAACTGTGGGAAAAAATCTCAATTCTTTAACAGCGGAATTGTAAAGTACTTGAGTTGTTTGTGACACTTATTTCACAATGCCTGTTTTGTGGAGAATTTTATTCCCAAACACATAATTAATACTGATAAAACAAGCTGCGTATTAGTCGCATATTACTAATTATTAATAAGTCAAGGACAATATCATTAAAGGTAATTGCATATTTTGTTCTATATCGCTATATTATCATCTCGTATGCAACTTATGCACTTGTCTGCCTCTTGGCATGGAAAAATGAACTAAGTTGTATTTTTAGGCCCACCAGGTTCAAGCTGATTATATCTCGCTCAAACTAAGGTCATTATATAGTCTTGAGATACCTCAGAGCCTTTAAGTGTTATCAGAGTAGAGTTTTTACGCTCTTTTAGAGTGCCTGACTTTCCCAGTCTTTAAGTTTGCAGAGTATTTTTGAATGTTTCAGGATCGCTACATTGCTCCCCATCGGATTCTTTAAGGTTCCCAGAATCCGTAAAATCCAAACCCGATGTTAAGCTGCCCTTGTAATTACAAGACCAGACGGATCCTAAGGTACCTGAGAGCCCCAATTAGAGTGTTTTGTAGAGTTTTACCCTTTTCACACTTTTTAGAGTCTTATGGACGCCGAATTTATTGACCGTTTAACAGAAGTTTGTCCTTTCGTCGAATAAACTAGGGATACAAGAGGCGCGCAAAGTTATACAAAAACTAGTCTTATAGTATCTTTTTCGGAAGAAGTATCGACGAAGTACCTCTCCTCTGGTAGATTCGAGAGACAAAAGGTGTTAAAAAATCATTAGAGACAGACAAAGCTTCAAAAATCTCTCCAGAAGAAGAAAGAATATGTTCTAATTATACTCATGCCACCATTCCTTGCGTAATATGTATACTTTTGGGACAATTCACCACAACTGTTCGTGTGGTGCAAGAGCTATCACATCATTATGTACCATTCATTCAGCTTTTGTTTTCGAAGACCATAGTTCCCACCATTAACTGTTATCAATATTCCATAGAAATTTAAAATCCACCAGTTGCTAGGATAAATGTTTGGGTTGAATTCAAAATTAATCCAAAAATATTACATACGGACGACAGCATTTAGTTAAAAGTCAATGTCAAAATTAAAATAAATAATAAATGCTTACACTTTTCCAATTAGTTACCTAATAGCGCAACAAAAATTCTATTTGCGTTCAACGTCACGGTTCGCAATGCTCAATAAAGATATGCATAAGCTAACCTGTAACCGTATGTTAATGGCCTAATTAAAATCGCTTCAATGATAGATCGGCAATGAATGAAAACTATCATTAATTACAGGATCTCCATTGTTAACCAAGTTGACCTAATGCTTTATGACTGACAGGAAATTTCCTTGTGGAATTTCGTGACGTATGAATGAGCTCAGTTATCCTTGTGCATCAATGATTAATTGCATTAACCATTGAAGCTCAGTTTCCATTTACAGGAATTCAGGAATTTGTTTTTCTTTCAGGTACACAGTCGATATATCTCTACTTATCACCTACTTCATGAGCAACTGCGTTTACGTGGTGTTTATAGCAGAAGCTCTACACGGGGTGAGTTATGATAACTTCTTTGCGGTGCATCGTAAACATTACACTCATGCTTTCAGGTATTTAACCAATGGTTTCCAGACAATGGACTAAGTATAAGGATGTACATGGTAATGATAATGGGATTCCTAATAATATCGGCGCAAATTCGCGAACTCAAGCATCTAGTGCCGTTCTCGTTCTTGGCCAACGTGTCTCTAGTTGGCGCACTCGGCGTTACTCTCTACTATATGTTTTTGGAAGTCAACCCGGTTTCATCGCGTCCCGCATTCGCCTCATTTTCGACATTACCGATGTTTTTCAGTACGGTAATATTCGCAATGGAGGGTATTGGTGTAGTTATGCCGGTTGAAAACAACATGAAAAATCCCCAACACTTTTTGGGATGCCCCGGCGTGTTGAATGCTGCAATGACGAGTGTTGTACTGTTATACGCTTTCATTGGATTCTTTGGATATTTAAGGTTTGGGGAAGATACGCGGCCTAATATAACACTCAACTTGCCAATGGAGGAAATGTAAGTGGCAATCTAAGGCGAACTTACAGATGCTTACTTAAAAATTCCATTTTTCAGACCAGCGCAGATTGGCAACGTGCTAATACCAATTTCCGTATTCCTCACCTACAATCTGCAAATGTTTGTACCTCTAGATATTATTTGGCGAAAGGGATTGTCAGACAGACTTCACGGTACTTGGAGAAGACATCTGGGACAGATCATTATGAGATGCCTATACGTCGCAGGAACGATCGCCGTGTCTGTGGCGGTACCCAATCTGGAACCAATTATTGGACTGGTTGGTTCTGTTTGCTTTTCCACACTGGGAATTTTAGTACCGGCGATTGTGGACACGGTGCTCAATTGGGAAGGAGATTTAGGTTTTATGAAATGGAAGCTTATTAGAAACATCATATTGGCCATATTTGCAATTTTCGCTTTAGTTTCGGGCACATCACAAAGTATCGGTCAAATAATAAACCCCCCGGCTGTGGATTAGCGGAATTAGAGATGTTAAGTTTATATCTCATCTCCAACCTGATCTGCTTACATAATCCCCATTGTTAATAGCTTTAGGAGATTAACATGTGATAGTATGCATTATTTAGTGCCATGCGTAAATTGGGAATGCTGCGAAATTCCCAGAAACCAAAGTAAAATGCAATATCGGTAGCTTTAGGGAATTACAACGTTGATTGTGTATGTAATGTGATTAATAATTAATACACCTAATTTAATTACCTTTAAAAGGTAGAGTGAGATCGTGTGATTTCAGTAAGCGTTTTTGGTTTATTGAAAGAACGTCTTCGAATCGTAGTTTTAAGCTTCCATGTGTAAATAAATACATTTTATTCTAATTGAAGTTTTACTAATTTTAGAAAATCGTTACCTAAAATAACAACACCCTAGACATAGGATAAATTCCCTAATAAAAGAACCCTCCTGAATTTACACCCTTCCCACTATCCAAATGAACTCTATAGAACCATACCTTCTAGCTACGAGTAAGTTACGTAAATTCATCGTTTTTGTTCAGTTTTCGAAAATATAGCAAAATATGGACTCGATCGAACCGGGTGATCAAATGCCTCACTGCGTTTGATATGAGAAAAGATGATATTTTAAAAATCTTGAAAATTACGGACTTTATGGACAATTGAGCCGTAATCTAGGCATGGCAACGCCGGAACTATGACTAAATTCGTTCAGTTTCAAGCTTCAAGCACGGATTCAAGAACGTAATTTTCGTTTGTGCCATGTGCGAAACACTAACATTTGTGTAGTGTATTTTTTCGAAGCAGTTGCTTCCAATTCCAATTCCAATCCTTTTTATTTTTTCGGTTGCACATTTTCCTCAGCATTAACTCAGGGCTAAGATGTGTTTATGGAACAGTCTCTGTAAAAAAAAAACAAGTATAAATTGTGCACAACTCTTGTGCAGGTAAAGTGCATTTTTAGTAAACCGAAATAGTTTAGTAAATGGTTCGGTTATAAGATGTTTACTTTCTAGTTTCTTGGTAGATGATTAATGGGGAGGAGGCTCTTTACACATAAACATTTAAAGGCCGCCTGGCATACATTCAAAATCCTTCGACACTCAATTCTGCAGATATTTGCACTGAAAGCTTTGGCATCACAAATAGATATGTGTCGTCCTGAGGCCTGACGTTTCACTTGCCTTTTATGAGTACTCTCTTCCGAGACCTTTAATTAGAACCCTTAAAAGATCAAATTAATTTCTAATGGAACAATCTAGGTCTTCTCCGGGTTAACGGAGAGACCATGGCTACTACACCACCCCACTTATTCAAGAGCTTTCTGCTTGAACACTTTCACGGTGTTTGGGAACTTTCCAGTTATGACGATCGCGTATCCCGTCCTTCAGAGTGCGGAGGAGTCCCTCTAGTACCTTAAGTCTAGTGTTTAGAAATATACGGAAAAAATAAGTCCTGAACCTGCAGATTGGAACCTTCCGATGGTAAAACATCCTGCCGGCAAAAGTTCTAGGGTGTAGTTTTTTAGAACAGTTGATCCTTGTCTTCAAGGATAGCGAGCATATAAGGAGCGGGAACGTTTAGAAATCAGTGTGACTATTTTTAAGGAGAAATTTGTTAATAAACCAGATATTTTTTCACCCTAACTTTCGGTTAATATTTTTTCGACTGCGGGAACTTACACTAATCTATATGTTCCAATAATCAAGTTTAATCCCCTTTTGTTTTTTTTTGTAGCGAAATATAACCCAGCGCGTTTAATTAATGTGTTCTTGATCGAACACGACTCCATGTTGATGCGAAGAAAACGCGCGTATTTCACAGGGAGGTTCTCTAGTTCCACAATATTTCTTTTATGGTGTACTAATTGACACCCCCTCCTAGAGATTTATTGATTCACTCGCGGAAATTTTCTGAGTTGGAGTTTCCCATTATGTCTGAAAAACACCCTTAAGGAATACCGCAACAAATTTATTTACCGATGAAAACTACGTGGTTATTCCTTGGTAGTTCCCGACCGGAATTAATATTTTATTTTCAAATGCACCTTTAAACTTCCGTAGTTCAGACGCGAGATAATCAACACTTTAAATTGAAAACTAAATAGCCGCACTGATGACCAAACTCGAGATGATTCATTTTTATTTTCTCTAAGGGTCACGCACTGGTTTAAGTACGTGCTTAACGAATTCCTAAAGTTTTTCCTTAAAACCTATTCTATATTAATTAAAAAACCCCTACAAAATGGTTTTCTTTAATTATTAATTCGTTAATTCCCGCCTACGAAACAAGCAAGAGCCATTCCAATAAATCATTCCCAAATACCACTAGGATATGCTATATTGCAGTTTCCACGATTTTGATGATCTCATGCCGAATTCGCAATTGTAATCAAATATACTTTTCCCTAAGAATTAAATTTTACAAAATCTGACTTAAGACTAATTAAAAGAAAATATTGTCTATAATGTTATAGTTAAATTGGTCAACATTAATTCTTTTCCCCATATCTTTTTAAAATAATTTGTATGTGTAACTAGAAATCTCCTCATAAGGCAGGAGAAGACCGTTGGTCGAAACTAGTCGCTTTACGTCCTTTTATAATTAAACTTGGTATGGGGAAGGTTTTGTGTTTAATTTAACGACTTTATTTTAGCTCAAATAATTTAAAACTTGACACTTAGAATTTTTATGCTCTCTTCTCGTACATCTCCGGCATTCGCTACAAAGCAGAATCCTCCTCCGTAAATACCAAGGAACTCAATTACACAAATTTTGTTTAATACCCGAGATAAAATCTTGGACACAAATAAAATACATTTATGAACAAATTTTTGAATTCTTTTTTGATGATCGCCTAAAAAATGTTGTGTGCACCTTGGCCAAAAGTGATTTGTTAGGCCTCATCTGAACTGCAGCTTCGGCCAAAAAAGATCACTTTTACGGCCTTGGTACACAAATAACTATTATCCCACACTCAGGCGTGGTCGACGTAAATAAACAAAGAAAATCTTAAAATTACTTAATTTTTCATAGAATATTTAATCTGGCCGTAACGACGGTCGTTAAAAGTTAGCTAATATGAAGTCTGGCAAAAAGTATTAAAATTCAGCGATATGAATTCATTTTTCCACATATTTTCTTCATTCTCTATCGTAGATTAGAGAAATTACAAAGAAAAAGCAATCTAATTATGTATTATGAGAAGGATTTAACAAGAACTTGGGGGGAGTTTAAGGAGAAAAATACAACAAATGCAACAAATTTTTCCGATACGCGATTGAACTTTGAAAGGCCAACGAAGAAACGAAAGGCTAACAAGAACAAAAAAATTTTTGGAAATTTCAGAGGGGCACTAATGAACTAGACGCGACGAGGCGGCGAGCATTAAAAGGACTTTGAGAACTGGAGAAAAAATGAAGAAGGGAATTTGGGAGGTTCTTCAGCAGAAGTTTTGGTATACATACCTTGAAAAGAATTTTTTTGTTGAACGAAACATGGGAGGAATTGGGAAATTTAGGATAACTTGATGATTACTCTGTTTTTAATTATGCCAAATCGGTATTTGTTTCGAAAATAGACTGAAAAACACTTTTTGGGTGAAATTGCACTTAGAGTTGTATGAGAATTTTCGACCTACTTTGTTTATAGTCATTTTGAAAGTTGTACGAGAATTTACTTACTATTAAGGCATATTCGTTTTGCAATCTGTTAGCTTATTTAAAATATAATTACAATATAAAATAGAGTACCATTTCCCATAATAATTCCTTTCCTTCCAATAAAGAAGTATTCAATTCATGAATACTACCGAAGGTTAATAAAATGAACCTACGACCATATATATCGTAACACGCTAGGTACTTTCTCTACAATTTCAGTAACAATAATAGTGCTGCCAAATATGTCTTTTTGTATTCAAATGTATCCTCTCAAAGCAGAGTAATTACTCTCAACTACACATTCTGGCGATCGTCGTTTGAAATCTACATAAGTGCAAATGTGTGTGGCAATTTTCTTTAGGTATAATGCAGGGTGCAACATTGCGTTGTGGGCGGTTAGTACAGAATTCCTGCCAATCTGCAGCCCACGATGAAAGTAAAGCCTTTCTATTTGAATTGAAATTACATAAAAGTATTTGATAGATGCATTTGTAAACATCGGATTTGGTTGCCACTTGGCCATTGCTTCGTAACCCGAAATGTGATTTTACATAAATAAATTAGATTGCAGTATTTTTTTGTTCCAAGCAGGTGACATTTTTTTTAATTTTTAGAATGGACGTTTTTTTAACTTTTAGGTTGAGGTACAGCTTATTGTAGCATTCTGTTGCATCGTCGTTTAGATAGTTGTTTGGACCCTGTTAGAAGATGCAAGGTTTTACAACTTTTGGGTGAATATACTCAATTTGCAATTTAAATTCAAGGATTGTGCTCATTTCGATAACCGTGGAAAAAGGTGCGCACCGAATCTAATTGTACAAGTAAGCGCAATTTAAATTACAGGTAGTTGCGTTATAAATCGAAACTTATAGAGTGTAAAATGTGTTGTGGTGCACAAAAAAAGGTTACAATCTACCTGTGGATTGTAAAAATTATAGCAGCAGCTTAAACGTAAACTCGAAGAATAACATTCTGAATTCGACAGTAACAGTTGTTACAGGTAAATTTTTCTGTCCGTCGCCTTTACGGATATCTCGTCTAATCGCTTTAGGAATAAAATAACATTAGCATGCATGTCAACGTATGTAACATAACTTTGTTCACTTGAGAAAGTGTAGTAAACAAGTGTTAACCTTGCTTTCTATTGAAACGTAAAGACACCCAAAATTTCTTATTCACCGTCAAGGCATTTCGTCGTTAATATTTGGGCAGAGTGCCCCAATCCAAACTTGTAGGTAATTAAATTAATCGTCAGTTCCTATACTGGACAATTTAACAGTTACCGAATTCATACCTTGGCAAAAGAATGGAAGATTGATTCCAATTTTTTCGAAAAAAAAATGCTGCTTTCTGACCAGCTTCAAGGTAACCGCGCAATGACAATGATAAATGAAATTTTTTATGTTTGTTCCCACGCGTGTACGTAATTTATAGCAAATTTATCGCACTCGTCCCGTGTCAGATCGCTTTACTGGTATGACCATCGATTAATAGTTTTTTTTAGCTTCCTAACTATTACGATCGCCGTTTTTTGGGCATGTCAAAATTTTATCAAATGCCGAAGTTTTACATTATTTTAAGCAGCTTTCAAAGAATACAATTTTTTCCGTCTGAATGTACGTGCGCACATTGGCAATTTTCCGAGGAAACGGCTTGACGGATTCGGTTCAAATTTTGGATATGTATATTAGGCATACGGGCTGGATTTTGGAAAAAATTTTGGAGCAACGCAACGGCATCGAACTTGTTTTTTTCAAAAATCAACCTAAAATTTTGATTCATCTAATTTTGCCAGGTTTTATTACAAAAAATCAGAGAAAAAATGTCAAAGTTAAAAAACGCGCCAAAACTAAATTAATTCTAATTAGGAATTACAATTATTAATTATACGTTGCCCTGTGATATTAAAAAAAATAAAAGTAATAGATCATCATGAGCAAAAATTTAAAAAAACCAGAGATGTTCGCAAGCGGTTATCCATCCACGTACTGACCCGGTCCGACATCAGACGAGAACCGGTGTTTTATTCAACGTGGTATGTTCGTGCTAAGGGAAACAATTATAGAATCTTTTCTTAAAAAAAGAGCACACGAAAAGGATGAGAATTTCGCGATTTGGGGCTTTGAGCACTTTTGAGCACTATGTACCAATAAAAAATTTACCCTAATTAGTAATCGTTTAAGATAATAATACACAAATTACAATTCTCTAAGGCAGGGGGTTTCCCAAGCTTTTTTTATCACAGGGCCTTTAAAACTTTAAATTGCAAAAGCCTTTGCGACCCTAAAAAATTTTTCGCACAATGTACAGACAAAGTAGCCTATTTCTATTATATAAAAAAATTGCTAGCAAAAATGCATGAATTCAAATTTAAGTCACTAATTTAAGAATTTTGGCACCAAAAGTACAGTAAAAGTGATACAAAAAAACAGGGCACAAAAAAGACTAAGTTATAAAAAAAATATAGCAGCTAGTTTAGACCACTGCTTTCTGCTTGCTACCATGGTGTTGCATCATCTGATTCACCAATGGGGTAAGGATCTCGTGCCTACCGGTATTTTTTCCCAGTCCTGGCATTAATATTATTAGCAGGAAAATACGCTCTCGTCATTTATGTTTGCATAATGACTTTTTAACTCGTTTCTATAATTCAATTCGAAATTCTATGGTCATGGAAACAGGCCGCGATCCTAAGAAATCAACACACGACCCCATTTAAGGTTGCGACTCCGATTTTGGGAACCCCTTCTCAAAGAGGACAACAAAAATTTTCCTGTGGGAATTTGAACAATTTAGTGTTTGGTAATAAAACGGCACATACAACAAATTAATATGACTTTTGGCAGTGTGTATTAGACACAAAGGATGTAAGACTGTCAAAAACGATTTTTTTTGTTAAACTTTGGTTTTGAACTAGGAAGCTGCTCTGTCAAGAATTTGGCAACTAAGTTAATATATGGTTTGACTAATATAATAAATATCGAGGGTCAAGTTTTCCTGACTATGGCTGTATATTTCCTCTGATCCTTCAATCTATCCAATGGTCTCCATTCAGGGACGTAGCAACAGGAGGTGCAACTGGTGCGACGCACCAGGGCCCGGGCGCCGAAGGGGCCCGGCCCGGCGTTTACTTTGTTTAAACTATTTCTATGTTACTGTTACATAATGAATGAAAGGTATAATGTTAGAACAAGAAATTACTAGAAAATATGGGGTACGTACAGAAGGATTTTAAGAAATTGGTTATTATTGTACTTATTCTGTTAAAATGTAAATTTAGCAATATATCGGCAGACCTTCATGAATCATAATCCTTCCTTTAGGAGATAAGCGCACTGTGGTAGGGACCGACTCTAAGAATTCATTTTAATCCCTTTATAACACGTCCATCACGTTTAAGCAAATTTACCAGTAAAAAGTGTTATATGATGCCTCATGCCGATGCCGGATGCGGCATTCTTGATGTTAATAATTTTAGTTCAGTAACCATAAATCATATTCGTTCGTTTGTTTTGCTACCTACGCGTATTTTAAAGAACATTTCTTTTCTTGCACTTGCATGGCAGTTTTACTTTACCCTTCGCTTCGAAGTTATTTTAAATTGTGTTTCTAAGGTTTTAAAATTAAAAATTATTACACTGGCTCACTGGATTAAATAATTTGTTTGTTTCGTTTTTCGCGTTTGTCAGTTTGTGCGTGCCCCAACTCACGAGTGTTAGTTTTTCATTAATCGAATCGTATATCGTTAAGGCTCAAAACTTTTATTTTTACGTACATCGTTGATGCTGGGTTACAATTACAAATCGGCAGTATTAGAAGGTATGTAGGTATGGTAGCTGTCTTATATTGAATTGAATTTATGTTATCATGTTGGTTACCATTGTTCAGCCATACGTTTTTGTGCATTGTTCAATAAACTATTATGCTAGTGATTTTTTTTAATGATGCAGTGGGGCCCGTATGTTTGGTGTTGCACCAGGGCCCGCTCCTAAGTTGTTACGTCCCTGTCTCCATTTGATGATTTCGTTTCTTTCATCCTGCATTGATTTAACTTCCACTTGTATAGAACTACAAGGATAATTTGTCAAGTATAATTAAACATTTTCTGTGTAATTTTGTGAAGTGGAACTTGTTTTTCCCTTTGTCTTAAAGATAAAACTCGTCTCAAATCTTACTTTTGAAACTAGTAACGCCATAAGAAATCCAAAAATTATTTCAAATTCGTTCGACGAATACCAAAACTTAATTAAATTAAAATTTGTTTCTACGGAGCAGACATAAAAATACTTCATTCAACTATTTAATAGCCTCTAGAAGCGCGATATACTAAAAAAATTGTGACATGTGAGCGAGTTGATTTCATGTTTGTATAACCGCATCTTTGAATATATGATTTTTCTCGTACCCTCGTTTAGGGGCGCGTTTATTATCATAGGAATTTTCTAAACATTGTTATAAATTCAGAAAGGGCATACTCAAACGCTTAAATTAAGCCGCTATTTCAATGCTTCTATGTGTTATGGACACTGAGAAAAAATCAAAGCAAGAACTTTGAAACTTTGGGGATGTGAACCGGCCACCATACGAAACATTTGTACCCTCTAACGCCAATCTTTTTATCATTCTTTAATAGGCTACACGTGGTACGCAAAAAAACTTGAACTGAAACTTATATAGTTTTATGCACTTTTGGGGAAACTCCTAAATTTATGCGTCGATGTTAAAGAAGATATTGAAAGTTCAATCTGGGTTTACAACATAACGCCTGTGTGCCAACATTACCAATCGATCTCAAATTTGGATGGTCAATTGTGATCGGATTGTGCTGATTTGTGTACCAGCTTAAAATGTTCTATGCGTCAAAGTGATACGGAGTTGTTAATTTTGGGTGTTAAGAACTAACGTTTTCGATCTTGACTAACATGCTTTTGTGCTGATTTGTACGACAACTTTCACGTTTTGTGCGTCAATTTTAGGAGAAGGGAGAAGTTCCATCTTTGGAGGAAGTGTTTGCACAATCAAAGAGGAAATCTCTACCTAACTGTATGATCTCCAGTTCAAAATCATCCTAAATATATGGAAATTCAGTCTCAGTGTCCAATGCCTAGGAAATAAACACAATGTTTTCATTTAGTATACTAAAGGTTGAGTCAAAAATTAGTGTACCTTGTGATAAAGTGTAACATTTTTTATAGAAGGTTTCGTACTGTTTCAAAATGCTGAACAAAAATCTCATACGGATGTAGTCTGCTACTTTCACACCTTGCGTGCAATAGCTCCGCTGACAAAAATTTTCAGTTTGCAGAGGGGGTGCTATTCAAATAGCTAACGGGGTAGATTGTGGGGGTTTTGGCCATTTCTTATCATTACTCTACTTTTCAGATAACTAACATTGTATGACAATAAAATCTTCTTGCTTCATTACGTTCATTTTTCGTCTCTGCAAGATCAAGACAAGAAGCCGTCTCCTCGGTCTGCCACTAGCAACTTAGGACGACTACTATTCATTTTGTTCTTCATTGACTCAACACCTGATAACTGCTTGGAGAGAGTAATGAGGAAATTATCAATGTACTTATTGAAATCTAATCATTCAAACTTCATCCCAAGATTGTTTAGTACATATTAGTACCTAAGTGCTACGAAAGGAATGAATTTGTCGGGGGTAAATACACAAGAGCTTGATATTTAATCGGATAATTTTATTTTTACGTTGCAACGGAAAAAAACTAGAGATCAAAAGTGCTTTTGATCGAGTTTTTTCCAGGAAGCAACTAAGTTTGAGTGGATTAAAAATAAAATTATCCCGATTTAAAACCAAAATCGAGTGTATTCTAGGGAGATTAATAAAAGATAGTAAATATTACAACCACTATTAGTCCAGTCAAATAAGAAAAAATAAAAACATTAATCGGTAAAGATCTGAATTTTGGTACACATGTTCATTAATGTTCCCTATTGGACATACTAAAAGTCCCCGTCAAAATCTGTTGCGCTCGAGGCGCCATCCTGCAAAAAAGGAGCACTACTTCAGTTTCTTGCCTATATATCGGCAATAATTATTGATACGGAAAAATAGTTCAGATAAAAAATATAGTTTATTAAATTGCCCATAAAAAGCATATTAACATTTTTTTGTATGTCCAATACTTTAGCTATAATCCGACATCGAATAGGGAATCAAGTATCCTGAGTTCTCGAAACAGTGGCGCAGATATTTTTTTACAACTTTTTACAAATCATTAAATTCATTGAAAACTCTACCAGTATTTCTTATATGTGCGAAGTCGTCGCACTCAGGCTTGGTATGAGACACGTTTAATAAGGTTTCTCATAAAACGCTCTCTCAATAGAACTTTCATCTTCAATGTGAGCACTGAGTGTGGACTGGGAGCCTTCAGTGTCCGAACAGGGTCAAGGTAATTCTGAAGGTCTGATAACGATGTCGGTTTTATATCTCTCACTAGCAGACACGTTATACTTATGCAGATAAGGGCGTTCTTCAGCTTAAGAAATCATTTCGCCTCCTTCTATAACTACGATACGGGGCCTAAACGCGTTCTGACGTATTCAACGTGAGATTACAGCTAAAGTACTGGAGATACAAAAAAAATGTAAATACTCTTTTTTATAGGGAATTTAGTAAACTATATTTTTCATGTAAACTATTTCTCCGTGTCAGTAATAATTTCCGAGACATGGGCAAAAAACTGGAAAAGTGTACCGTTTTTCCAAGATGGCGTCTCGAGCGCAACAGATTTTGACAGGGACTTTTAGTATGTTCAATAGAAAGTCCCAATAAATGTGTATACCAAAATTCAGATCTTTACCAATTAATGTTTTTATTTGTCCAAAATTGCGCCAATTTGACTGGACTATATATATTTTACGCATTCCTACGCGCATTTTTATCGCTGATAAAAAGCTACCTAGCTTTTAATCAGATAAAAAATATTCTCATTGGTTAGAATTTGAAACAATCACCAAGCTGATTGATCGTATATTAATGGAGTGCAGTATTAATCAAAGTATAATAATAGGGTTTTGATAATAATGATGAGGACCACAGTGGTTTTCCACTGTGTAGTGCTGCAATTTAATGAGATCAATTTCCAGAATGTCTTCAACTCACGGAACGGACATCAAGCAAAACAGTGACAGCTCTCAATGCATTACAACTGATGAAAGAACAACTCCACAAAATAATTCGTAAGTTATTAACTGTAAGCAATTAAAGACACATTGTTCAACTAGATACTTCGGTGTACTAATGCACTTACTGAAGTCTATTATTGGCACCGGAGTTCTTACCTTGCCGCACGCATTTAAAGAGAGCGGTTTTGTTTTTGGAATATTTGGTACCGTGTTTGTAATATTTCTATGTACATACGCAGCTTATATACTAGTAAGTAGTAGTTACGTTGATTGAACACTACACCATGCGCTCAATTTTAGGTATACCACTCTCAGGAGATACGCAAAAAATCAAAGACAAAGCTGCTGGGGTTTTCTGATACTTGCGCATTGATTTGCCAGCATGGGCCAGAGGCAGTGCAAAGTTTTTCGATGGTGTTCAAGTAAGTAAACGCTCCCTCAGTTCCTGTTCACATTCATTTATTTGAATTACCCTTGACTTACCTCTGGCGAAGAAAATCGGATCTACTTCACACGATCCATCAAATCAATTTCAGGGTATACCACGCATTCAAAAAACTCCTTTATCTTTTATCAACTTGATGGCGCTTTGATGTCGCTCTAGAAAATTTGCCATTATGTGACTCTAAAACCTGCGCACTGTTCTCCTTCTCTAGTTGGATTGCATAGGGTACTTTTCTTAATGTTTAAGGTAGAAATTATGTTAAATAATCTATGCTGTGAAGTTTCATGTGCTGATTAATGCTTTAATGTCTTCCAATCGGTTCCCTAAGCGAGACTTCAATCAGCACATGAAATTGCGAATCTTTTGCTTTCCAACTTGTTCATTATTTTCAACAAAAGTTACACTTGATCCGAGATACCCTGCACACCCCACTCACAGGGCAAATGTCATTAGAAAAATACTTCACATACTTCAATATGCAATGAAGTGTTAAAGACGCAAAAATTTCAGTCAAAATTATGTACTTTGCGAGAGAACGGAGGTGTATTTACATGTGGGACAAGCTAATTTCCTTTTTGACTCAAACGCAAACTTATACGCATAAAGCTTAAAGCACATTAAAGCGCTTACATTTCCATTGTACCTAGGATAGTCCCCAAATATGAAAGGTAGGGAGAAATCCGATCACCGTTTTTAGTTGAAGTGCGTTTCTAAATATTTCAATAAGAATTTCGAGAAGCTTTTGTTACTACATTTCCCAACATAATCTAATTAATTGAACGATTTCAGGTATGGAGTTGATGCAGTTATCTGTATAGGAAGCCTTCTAACCAACTGCGCGTTTTTGATTTTTATTGCCCAATCATTCCATCAAGTAAGTGCAAATTACAACAAATGTTTTTATCTGCCGTTTACCTTACAGGTTTTCTCTTATTGGTTTCCGCATTTCATCCTCAGCGTTGAACAGTACATCATAATTATTTCGGTGCTACTCCTCATTATATGCCAAATACGCGAATTAAAGCATCTGGTACCGTTTTCCATATTCGCCAACATATGCCTTTTCGTCGGTCTCCTCTTACCACTAGTCCATATGTTCAGTGAGCTGCATAGTCCTGCAGATTTCCCAGCCTTCACTTCCGTTACAAAGCTGCCTTTATTTTTCGGAACGGTATTTTTCGCGGCGGATGCCATGATATTGTATCTTCCCATAGAAAACACAATGAAGAACCCTGCGAAATTTTTAGGCGCGACTGGTGCCTTAAATGTTTCTATGGTAATTGTTGGGATACTGTACACTCTGTTTGGGCTATTTGGGTTTTTAAGATATGGTGAGGATACTAAGCCAAGCATAACGTTAAATTTGCCAATAGAAGAAATGTAAGATTACATTGCTGGGTATTGTTTCACTCATGTGTTTCCTTTTAGCCCATCGCAAATTGTTCAGCTAATGTTACCGATAAGTATTATGCTTACTTATGTTCTAGTCACCTACGTGATGATAGAGATTATTTGGAATAATTATCTGCAGTACAAAGTACGCGGAAGCATTAAGAGAAATTTGGCTCAAATTGTTACCAGATGTTCGCTAGTGATACTAACCGGCGCAGTTTCGATAGCTGTTCCGAAATTGGAATTAGTCATTAGCTTAGTTGGATCCGTCGGATCTTCCACTTTAATACTCTTAGTTCCAGTTACATTAGACACAATTGTACGATGGGACAACGATTTAGGATACTTCAAGTGGAGACTTTTCAAAAATATTCTTATAGGAATATTTTATGTGTTCATTTTAGTGTCGAGTATATTGATATGCTTCCAGTGACACAAAATGTGTTATTTAAATAAATTTTCTATTACTTGTTTAATTTAATTTACTTCGTATTTCTTGATGTTTTAGTAGGTATAATGAATGATGAAACGAAAGAATCCAAAAAACTTGAATAATCCGAAGAGTTTTTTAACAGGGAATAAATGAAAGATTCGTAGTCAGGAATAATTGAAAGAACTGAAGAGTGGATCGAGTCCAAGCGAATAAATTGAATAATTCTAAACGTCTACAGTACCTACTTGAAGAAGTTGAAGAGTCTACAGAACTTGCAATATACAAGGAACTTTCTGTTACATCCATTTGTCACATTTCCGTTAGTTTATTAATTATTACATGCTAATATTATTCTATTTTACGCTAAATTCAGTTTATTTATTTTATTTTAAAATATTTGTAAGATTCCTCGTAACTTGCCATAAAGTTGAGCTTTCTATAAATGATTGACGCTTCCTCGTACGAAGCTGGGGAGTATTGAAGGAAAGCGATAAAATAAAATCGTCGCAACAAAATAATCCAGTGATTTATTTAAAATGAATGAAATTCCCATAAATTCAACAATAATAACCAGTCAACTTGTAACAAAATTAAACTTGGCATGCCTATTTAATTCGCGAACAATTCGTTAAGTTACGGCTTTACAAAAAATCCCCGAAATGTAGAATTATTATGACAAAATGGCGCCAATATTGAAAGTACAAGCGTCCCATAATACAGAGTTGGGCAGTATTCGATTTTGTAAATACTTTTTAGTATTCAAATCCTTTAAAGTATTCAAATACTCTGTAATTAAATAGGTACTTTTATGAAAGCAGTATTTGTATTTGTAACTCAAATACTTTCACAAATATTTAGTATTCGAATACTTCGCAAAGTATTTGGATACTTCGTAAAGTATTCAAATACTTCGCATAGTATTTGAATACTTAACCTTCCTTTTTTACCAAAAATCGACTACTCCAAAATTTCTCGGGAAAACACTTTTTCTTATTAATTTTGGTGCGTAGAATCCAAAACGATTCGCACTTTTTCGATTAGACTTCTCAATCAAAATTTATGGACTAGAAACCAATTTCGAAAAAAAATTCAAAGGGCTGTCACTTTTGAACTACTAGCCCAATCTTTGAACTGTATGAAATTAAGGATTCTACAGGCCACATTCTATAAGAAAATTTTTTTTTCGGGTCGATCTGAGACAATTTTATTTTCGCGCCTCTAAAAAAAGCAGTGTATAACCTTCCTTTTTTTACCAAAAATCGACTACACCAAAATTTCTCGGGAAAACACTTTTTCTTATTAATTTTGATGCGTAGAATCCAAAACTATTCGTACTTTTTCGATCAGACTTCTCAATCAAAAGTTATAGACTAGAAACCAATTTCGAAAGAAAATTCAAAGGGCTGTAACTTTTGAACTAGTAGCCCAATCTTGAAACTGTTTGAAATTATGGATTCTACAGGCCACATTCTATAAGAAAACTTTTTTCCGGGTCGATCTGAAACAATTTTTTTTTCGGGCCTCAAAAAAAGGCAGTGTATAACCTTCCTTTTTTACCAAAAATCGACTTTTCTCGGGAAAACACTTTTTCTTATTAATTTTGGTGCGTAGAATCCAAAACAATTCGTACTTTTTCGATCAGACTTCTCAATCAAAATTTATGGACTAGAAACCAATTTCGAAAGAAAAATTCAAAGGGCTGTAACTTTTGAACTAGTAGCCCAATCTTGGAACTGTTTGAAATTATGGATTCTACAGGCCACATTCTATAAGAAAATTTTTTCCGGGTCGATCTGAAACAATTTTTTTTTCGGGCCTCAAAAAAAGGCAGTGTATAATCTTCCTTTTTTACCAAAAATCGACTACACCAAAATATCTCGGGAAAACACTTTTTCTTATTAATTTTGGTGCGTAGAATCCAATCCAAACAATTCGTACTTTTTCGATTAGACCTCTCAATATAAAGTTATGGACAAAAAACAAATTTCGAAAAGAAATTCAAAGGGCTGTAACTTTTGATCTAGTAGCCCAATCTTCAAACTGTTTGAAATTATGGATTCTACGGGCCAAATTGTATAAGAAAATGTTTTTTCCTGGTCGATCTCAGACATTTTTTTCCGGTCTCAAAAAAAGGCAGTACTTTTAAGTTATTCAAATATTTGAGAACAATTTAGAAATGTTTAGGGAAAGTTTCCATTGTCATTGTCACAAAATCAAATATAAAAATCCGATACAACTGAATACCGAACGATCCTGGAGTGAAACTTTTTGACTCGATAGTCTACGTGACTCAAAAACAACAGGGACCTTTCTTATATCCTTAAGACCGTGTGTACCAATTTTCCAAGCGATCGCACGTTTCTAAACAAACTTGTAACGTTTCCGTTTACATTTAAATTAAAATTCCCACTAGATATGAAAATTTAAACTCAATGTAACCAACAATAAGAATTTTGATAAAGGTAACTGGTAAGGGTCAAGGGGTTATCGAATGTGGAGAGGATAGACGTGACTGAGCGTAAGAAAAGTGGTTGTTAGAGGATGAATGCTTGAATGAATCCCAGAATATTGTTGTAATCCTGTAAGAAATTCAAAATTAATTAAATTGATTGATATATTTACTACAAACATAAACTAAGTAAGTAATTATTTCATGGTAATTCTTTTATAACTCTCAAAATTCCGTTTCAGATTTTAGATCCATGCCATACATATGTGATATTTGAAATTATATGAAATTCCTTTTAATTAACAAATAAACCCAATAACATTTGGTAAGAAGAAGTGTATAAGCAAAAACTTATTTTAATTATACCTAATTTATTTTAGGGTTTATTTATTACCTATTTATTAAATAGTTAAAATACCAATTTGGATCATCGTATAATCTACCCTTAATTTACCAAGTTTGACCAATACCTATTTACCTCTGGAGCCGGAATCCACATCAGAATCTCATCCAACACCGTCGTTTGGTAACCTTCACCGAGTCCTAAAACAATAAAAAAATAGAAATCAATTTGGAGTAAGGTCAGAAAAACTGTTTATAATTTAAACTCACCTCATTAATCATCCAACACAAAACATATTGTGAAGTAATCACGACATACGCAATCTGTAAGAGATCTCCGGTAAAACCCCACAACACCCACTCAAACATTCACCTCTTTTTCATTTCTAGTAGTCCTTAAAAAAAGAAAATTTTATATTAAGAAAAATAATATTGACGAACCAGTTATTATTTTAGCGAACATTAAAGAATCAATTATTTGTGTCAATGGTTTATTTCCTATAGTTCTAGGACTGGGTTTTTTTATTAATCGTACCCTAATTTGTCCAACGCAACCCTGGCGCCCTAATAATCCTTATGCTCTCCGGTTTTGAGCCGAGTGAAGGGGTATCGGTCCAACATTGTATGAACCATTGCCATACAGTTTTCTTACCAGATAGTTTGCTTCTTGATTGATTTATTTTGTTGTCCATTTAACGACTGACCGTATTTACGTTACCTCTTCATGAACCTATCGAATTGGTATTTTTGCCAATACGAAAAGGTTATAAACTATCATGCACACGGACAAACGGATGGTCAAAAATGGATCTGTTCCAAAATCGCTAGGATTAATTTCAGAAAGGCGTATGTATCATGTGCACGACGTACGATCGCTTTGAAAACTGGTACACGTATTCTTAAGGGTTAAACTGGTATAAGAAAGGTCCTGGTAGGTACCTCCCATATAATAATATAATAATAATATTACGCTTTTACTCCCCTTAAATTTGTATATAACAATAGAAATATAAAAAAAGCTAACCCCATACAAAGTATAACTTGATTTTTTAAGTAGTATTAAGACTTATCTAGTATACTATTTTAAATTTTTAATGTATTTGAGTGACAAGTATTCGAATACCTTTGATAGTATTAGAATACTTTTGAAAGTGTTCGAATACATTTTAAAGTATTTGAATACTTATTTTTTAAAGTATTTGAATACTTATTTTTTAAAGTATTTGAATACTTTACTATTTAATATTCAAATACTTTTTGAAAATATGCTGCCCAGCTCTGCCCATAAATAATCGTAACCATCCTTTAATGAGACATCATCAGCAAAGAAAGTGAGCTCTGTTACGACGTTTGTTGCAATCCCTGAAGGAGAGGGCACACTCACATTTATAACACCACCACAATTAAATCGATCCTGCACCAATTTAAAGCAAGCGCGTTGACTTTTTCATTAAAATATATGTAGTCACAAAAATGCATAAACTCCCATCGCCGGTTTCGAGGAGACAATTTTTGTCTCAACGAAATTGGTGCATAAGTAACTATTTTGATATCTTTTAAACAAAATCCACTTGCTTACTGGATATTTTGATTTTGATTTACAACTATTGACCTACGGCACAAATGAGGATTACTCTGAATGATTTGATTTTTGCGAGTAAACTTTTACTGATCCGTAGTCTCACTTAACAGTCGCAGTTTTTTTTAGTGCCCTCTATAAAGAACCCTTACATCGAATTTCCTCTTTGATTGTAAATGTTAGTTAATGACGGTATTGATTTCAAGACAAAATGATTATCATAGAGACAAGAGTATATGTGGTCATAAGATTGGTAAATCAAGCAAATACTACGTAAGTAAAATGCATGTGGGATGCGAGGTAAAGCCATCAACTACTTATAAAACCAAAAACCGATGAGACACAATAAAATGAGATACCAATAAATAAAGGTAAATTTGTATTTAAGTTTATTAGGCAAAGCAAGGACAGGAATACTTTATTCTATATTTATTTTTGAACTAGGTATATAGTATGTGTTACTTAAAACACTGGTGCAGTTGCAGAGCTCAATTTGTAACATGAAATATCGTAGGGTTTGCATTATTTCTCCTAACGACTCTGTCATTAAATTTTTGTTCGTTCACTTGTGGATATAAAGACGGATACATAGAAGTGTTATTAAAATTAATTTCGGTGACTGGATCTGCAAATCCTGCACGGGAGTGACTCTTGACGTCTGTTATCGACACCT